AAGGGCAAAAGTGGGCTACGGAAAGTAGGCTGTCAGTGTCTCTTCAATTCTGAACAACAATCCTATTAGATCAGCATTCTACACGTAAGACCTCATAAAGTAGTAATCACTACCATAAGGCCGTATCTCCAAAAACAACCACATTGGATATTGGTGGCTTAGAAGATACAATCAGTACAAAACTATGATAATAAAACTAAATTTTATTGTATGCAAAGATTTTTTATCCATGCTGCAAATCTCTCATCCCACTAAGATATTTAAGAGTGTCAACTCTCCTGGGAACTCGGGTGCAGGAGTTAACAGAATGTTTATATCACTTTTACTGTTAATAATATGAATTTATTGTACTTAATCATTTTAATATTCCTTTTTCTTTTAAAAATTTCAATATCTAAGGGGGTCAGGAAAACTTGTTTACCTAATTAACAGCTGTTAGTGTTTTCTTTATGTCCTGACTACCTTCAGTGAAGGACTGACAGCCAAACAGTCAGCCAGATTTCCTTCATGTCAGCATAGCCTGCTTTGAAGACTCAAAAACACCTTGAGGAAGTTACATGGCAAATCTAGCTGCATGGCTGTCAGACATAGCTCTGTCAACAGAGAGAAATGCTCCAGCAATGACTGTTTCAAGACTGCTTGAATCACAATTTTGCCACCTCAAGCTTTGGAGAATTCTAGCTAAATCTACACTTTTTTTTTACCCAGGGCATAGTGGGAACACTAGGACCTGTGTATTGTACAAACAGACACTTCATTAGTATCAAGTTCTGCTTTGACTGCTACAAGCGCAGTCCCTTATCTATATCAAGGACTGTGCCTTGGTTGGGACAATCATCACTGTTCATTTGCATGAGCAGCTGCCCTGCTTGGCATAAGGAGCAGACCATCTTGAAGTGAATTTCTAAAAGGGAATCTCAGTTGGGAGTCATGGTGCCCGAGGAAATCTTACCATGAAGTTTACAAACACCATAAGACACAAAATGATGGTGCTAGAGTACAAGAGAGACTCACCTGGGGTTCTGTTGCAGCAGAGCATCTTACATAGGAGTGAGTACATGTACATTAGGGAGTCTCACATAGGAAAAAAAAGTGATATCAAGTTGTCACACTTGAAAATTTAAGTTGAACCAGATAGGCATTTCAGGATGTGAGCATGCACAAAATCGAACCATTTGGGAGTTCATGGGCACCACAGTGTCTTACCCAGCAGCTGAGTCTATGCTGACCACTGATACCAGAGGCCAGAAAGCAAGCATGAGGTAGGGGTCACCTGAGCCTGACAGTTCCTTAAGTAAGCGCACATGGGCAGAGATTTGTCTGGCCAGACCTCACACGGGGATTTGGAGACACTCCAAGACAAGGCAGTTGGAGAGTGGGATCACATGCCATGGCCTCCTTCATACATGTGGACTGTAGTATCCAAGTGGGGCCAAGTTCATCTTACTGAGAATGTTCTGGGTGTAAGACACAGCAGAACCTCAGTCAGCCTGGTCATGAACAAGACAACCCAGAGAGGTGGGAGACACAAGTTGGAGTACTGTTTGAGCCCTTCTTTCTTGGTTATAGGTGTCTGGAATAGCACTAACAAGGAGCCATCTGGAGCGCTGACTGAGAGCCAAGGAACTTCTGTTAACAAACTCACTCAGGCTCCTAACAAAATGTAGTCATTAAGATTCACATATAGTAAACATAGCAGAAAGGCCCAGAATCTTCTACAAATGTGGCTTCAAGCCTCATGGGCTTGAGTGGCCAAGAGTCCCTAACTCCTGCTGAGTCCAATCCCTTCTGGGAAAGTGGGACATACGGCTACCCCACAAGAAAAATGGCAAATAGGAAGTCCAGAGTCAAGGACTTCATGATCTGAGTTGGGGGAATCATCAGACTTCCCCTAGAGCTCTCTATTCTTAAGTGAGACATGCCTAGACATATGCACTCCTGTAAGACTGAATCCGAGAGCAATATGGGCTTCAAAGTTTCACTACCTTCCCTTCTTCTTGCTCTGTGAGCTCAGGAGCCAGATTTCCCAAGTCTTCCATCTCTGACCACCAATAAGAACTCAGGCCTCATTCTCTACTTCCCAAAGACTGCCCATTGGCCCTTGGTCTTGGTGAGGCATCCTCCTTGTTCTTGGACCCCAAGACACTATAAGGGAGGCAAAAGCCAGGACGAAGCCTCATTTGAGGTTTCAAGCCCTAGTGAAAAGTAGTGCCTAAAGTCACTGATTATTCTGGTTAGGTGCTTACACTAAACCAGGATCTGTCACCTAAATGTTCAATATGCTCCATTTGTCTCTTCTGTGGTAACCTATGGAAATGATTTTCAAAAGATTGGAGAATGCTGGGGTGATGGTTCAGTGAAAAAGAGCACTTGCTATGAGAGCAGGAGTACCTGAGTTAAATCCCCAGCATTCACATAAAAGCCAGACATGGAGATGAACCCAGTTCATCTTCTCGCAGTCCCCAGGAGCCGTCTGGCCCTGGTCCCGCTCTCACTGCCCTCTGCTTCCCTGGGCTGCACAACCCACCAGCCTCTTTCCTGGACACCAGGGCTGACCTCTCGGCCCAGAATCACTACTACTTCCTGATCCTTTGCATCCAGACCAACCCAGTTCTTTCTCATGGTCCCCAGGAGCCCCCTGGGCCTGGTTCCACCCTCACCTCCCTCTGCTTCCCTGGGCTGCACAGTCTGCCAGCCTCTCTCCTGGACAAGTCCATGCACCCACCATGCCTTGACTCCCCCAGCCTCATTCGCTGCCCCCCCCGACTCCACCCCACCCCGTCTCTCCTCCTAGCCTGGGTACTGGCCCATTTCTTGTCTTGGCACCCCAGACACTGGGGCTGACCGCTCTGCTTGGAGCCACCACTGCTTCCTGATGCTTTGCATCCAGACCAACCCAGTTCCTCCCTGCAGTCCCCAGGAGCCCTTGGGGCCTCTTCCTGCCCACATCCCTTTGCATCCCTGGGTGGCACAGCCACCAGCTGCCTGAGACCAGCATCTTTCCTGGGCCCTGCTCCCAGGCCAGTCCAACCCCCAAATTCCTGAGGACAACATCTTTCCTGGAGGGATCCAGCAGTTAGGAGAAAGCCTGAGAGCATCTGAGCCTCATCTGACTTGGGCTTCTGTGGGAACTCCTGAAGACAAAAGTGATTTGGCCACTCCAATATAAAATCAAAAGAGAGAACCAGAAGCTTAGATGGACCAGCTTTTCATGCCCTAAAAGTAAACCACAAAGGCACATTAAGTTTACAAAAAGAAGCAGAACTAAACTTGAAGGCTTGAGTCTCACACAAGAATCAGAAGCTACAAAAGAAATTCACATGTCAAAATCACAGAGAAAAAAATAATAACATGAAAAATCAAAATAACATTTCCCCACCAAATACCAATAGTCCTCTAGAGGAATACAATGAGAATCCCCCTAGAGATAATGCAGGACATGGGACTCAAAAGAACAATTATGAACATGATGAAAGAATTCAGTGAATTTAAAGAACACACAAAGAAATCAAACAACTGAAGGAAGATAGAGATAAACTTCTAAATGAATTCAAAAAAGAGCTAGAAGTATTGAAGACTACTCAGGCTGAAATGAAGAAGGAAGTGAATCACTCAGTAAGCCAATTAGAAATGACAGGAGAAAGCCTCACCAATAGGATGAATGAAATGGAAAACAGAGTATCAAGACTGGAAGATAAAGTGGACGAACTAGACCACTCAAGCAAAGATTATGAAAAATTTAAGAAAGCACAAGAATGGAATCTGCAGGAATTGTGTGACACCATAAAAAGACCAAACTTACAAATCATAGGCATACAAGAAAGAGAAGACTCTCAAGATAATGGCATGGCCAATCTTCAACAGAATTGTAGAAGAAATTTTCCCAAAATTAAAGAAAGACATGTCCATACAAATACAAAAAGCATATAGAACACCAAATAGACAGGACCAGAAAAGAAACTCTCCACAGTACATCATAGTAAAAACACTAAATGTACAGAACAAAGAAACAATAGTGAAAGCTGCAAAAGAAAAACAACAAGTCACATGTAAAGGAAAACCTATTAAGATTACAGCTGACTTTTCAGTGCAAACTATGAAAGCCAAAAGAGCCTGGGCCAAAGTATTCCTAGTTTTAAATGACCGCTGATGCCAACCCAGATTACTACACCCAGCCAAAATGTCTATTATAGTCAAAGGGGAAAGAAAAATCTTCCGTGACATAAATAGGCTGAAGGAATTCATGTCCACAAAACCAGCCCTTCAGAGAGTTCTTAAAGCAATACAAAGAGCTGAAGAAGGGAATGACTATACCCAAGGGGTTGCAGAAAGAAATTCAATAAAGGTATAACTGTCGAAAAGTACAGGTATATCAAGTATGTGAACAGAAATAAAAATGACAGGATTCAATGCGCATATTTCATTAATAACTTTAAATAACAATGGACTGAATTCCCCAGTGAAAAGACACAGACTAGATGAATGGATTAAGAAACAAAACCCATCTTTTTATTGTCTGCAAGAAACTCATCTCATTTTCAAGTACAGGTACTATTTTAAGGTGAAAGGATGGAAAAAAATATGCCAAGTGAATGGTACTAAGAAAAAAAACAGACGCTGCAATTCTAATATCTGACAAAATAGACTTTAAAACTAATCAGAGGAGATAGAGGACCACTTCATTCTGATCAAAGGAACAATAAGCCAAGAAGATATTATAATCATGGACATATATTCACCAAACTCTGGTGCACTCAACTTCATTAAAACAATACTACAGGACTTTAAGACCCAGATTAATCCCAACTCATTAATAGTAGGGGACTTCAATACCCCACTGTCTCCATTAGATAGGTAAACAGGGCAGAGAGTTAACAGAGAGACATCTGAATTAAACAATACCATATATCAAATGGACTTAACAGACATTTACTGAGTATTCCACCCAAGCACCAAAGGACATACTTTCTACTCAGCACCCCATGGAACCTTCTCCAAAATCGACCATATACTGGGGCACAAAAAACCTCAACAATTACAAAAAGACTGAAATAATTCCATGCATTCTACCAGACCACAATGCAATAAAGCTTAAAATCAACATCTGCAGATTATGAACTTGAAATGACTTTCCTTGTTAAGATAAAGCAGAGGGACTTCCTTATATCCTTGGCTGTATCCCTCTGATTTTTGGAAAATGGGAACTTTTCAGTGTTTAGTTTTGCAGAGCTATTTTCTTCTGATTTGTCCTGGTCTGCTGGGTTCTCCTGTAAGAGCTTAGCTCAGAAGAGTGGCCTTCCATAAGCTTTGTGGAACAGAGCTTCAAAATTTCTGAAAGGCAATCAAGGAAGCTTTGAATAATTAAAAGGACATTCTATAGTCTAGTATGAAAAGGCTCAATGATAATAAAGTACAAATTCTCCACAAATCAATACGTACATTTAACAAGATTGCAATGAATAACATCAAGAAGTTTTTTTTTTTTTTCTGATCAACTTAATTGAGCTTAATTTTAAAGCTCATTTGGGGGAAAAAAACTGAAGTACCATAAACTCTACTGGAGAATGGCAGTGGTGTCAGTGTGTGGCTGTGCTGTACACAGAGGGCATTGAAACCGAGTGCTGGATGAAAGGCATAAGCACAATGCATAGGAACTGCACACTTGCTAAAAGGGGCATCTCAGATCACTGAGATGTGATGAAATGCTTAAAAAAAACGTTACCGGAAATGTCAAAAAATGAAATCTCAAGAAAATAAGAAAAATTTATAAGGAGATTATTGAAAGATAAGTGGAACTTTTGCAAAGGGGAAGCAGATCATAGCAGTGGGAAGAGACTATACCCTGAGCACTGGCAGCCACAGGTTGTGATAGAGTTTTCCTTTGATAGAGAGAAGTGATAAAACCTACAAAGTATATGTGTGAGGAGATGAGCAACAGGGGCTTTGAGACCATAATGCAGAGAATAATCCTGACTTGGGTAGGGTTTTCCTTAGGGCCTGTATTCTAGTTGGGGTGGGTCAAGCTTTAGTCCTGGGAATAAGGAGTGATCTCACTGAGCTCAGATCATAGCCATGTGCAGAAGCATGATGGAGATTCAACTAGAAGGGCAAGTGAATCATGGAAATAAACCCAAAATAGTAGGTTTAACAGAAAGTATCACCCTAGAAAGCCTGTGCTATAGAGTTACACCTAGATGTGCAGGTGCCACAAAGTCTTATTTAGAAGTGAAGCTGCATCTGTGAGTCTCATCCGGAAATGTTTTTGTACCAGAAAGATATTCCTAAATGTTTAGATGCATCAGGGAGTTTCCTGTAGAAGTACAGGTGTACTGGGAAGATACAAATAGTAGTGTAATGTGTTCAAGTGAGTATCCGTGTCAGTACTGATGTATGAGAGAAATTCACTTCAGAGTGCAGTTGCATCAGGAAGACTAAAATAGATATGTGAGTGTAAAATGGATTTAACTAGTAGTGTAGTTACACCAAAGATGCTCACTGGCATGTACAGGTACACCAGGGTGATTCACTTTGAAGATCATATATACCAGTGAGACTCACTTGAGAGTGCAGGTGCAGCAGGCAGACTCACCTAGAAGTGCATGCACACAGGTATCTGATCTGAGAATTCAATTGCATTTTGGTTTCTGAACTGATTTTGAGTGCAAGAGATAATTTCCTCCAAAGAGTTAAGTTGTATCTGAGAATCTCACCTGTACCTCCATCTTCTGTAGGGATACTATACTGGAAGTACAAATGTGCCACAGAAGCTTACATGGGACTGCAGGTGCATCACAGGAACTCATCTGGAATTGCAGGTTCCTCTGAAGGTTGCATATTAAACTCCAGGGCAAAGAGAGGCTCAGCTGGGCATTCTTGTGCACCAAAGGCATTCAAATGACACAAGTGATCAAACATGATGAGTATGAAAGCATATCACACAACATAATTTTGGGGGCAAGTGTACCAAGGAGATACATGTAGAAGTGCAGGTCCTCCACAGAATCTGACCTGGAAGAATAGATGAAACACAGAAACCCATAAACCTTGGAATCTCACATAAAAGTAAAGAAGAGGGGCTGGAGAAATGATTCAGTGGTTAATAGCACTGACTGTTCTTGCAGAGGACCAGGGTTTGGTTCCTAGCACCCACATGGTGGCTAACAACCATTCATAATTACAAATATTAAAAGTAAAGAGGAATGTAAAAGTCTCACCTATGAGGACAGGCATACAATAAGGTCTTAACTGGAAGTCCTGGTGTGCTATACTGTCCACTCTGGAAGGGCATTTGCAACAAATATACACACCTGGCATGCATATATCCAAGAGCGTCTCCCCTAGGTGTCCCCTAGACATTCTGGTACACCATGACAGTGAGAGCAGATGTGCCAGGGTGTTTCACTTGGAAGTGCAGGAGCCATAGGGAGATATATGAAGGAAGACAGGTACTTCAGAGGATCTAAAACGGAAGATCAGGGCTACCAGATTACCATAGAATGCAGCTGTACCAGGGATGTAAACATGGAAAGCAGGTGCATGACTGACCCTCTCCTGAAAGTGATGTGGCAATGAGATTCATCTGGAAATGAAGATGTCCAATAAAATCTCACATGGTAGTTCAGATGTATCACAGTGTCTTACATCGGTGTGCAGTTAGGATGCCTAACCGGAAGTGTAGGATATCCAGGGAATATACCTGGAAGTGCACATGAACCACAGTCTGTCCTGAATCTGCAGCTGTAGCCCAAAGTCTCAACATGAAGTGCAGCTACAGAGTGGACTCTGCTGCAAGTGAAGATCTGCATGGATTCATCTTGCAGTGGAGGTACAAAAGCATCTTACCTAGCTCTGAGGCCACAATAGGAAAATGCACCTGAAGGGACAGTACATCTGGGAAATACAGCTAGAAGTCCAGATAAGACTGGGTTGTGCTGGTCTGGAGACCAGCCTGGAAGTGCAGTGCAGGTCTCCCTGGAAGTCCTACTTGGGAATGCAAGTGCACTAAGAGATCTCACCTGAAATGGAGACGATCAGAGTCACACCTGAGGGAAACTGCCCCTTGGAAAACAAGTGCAAAAAAGAATTTCACCTCATTTGTAAATGCATGTGCACAATGTAGGCAGACGTGGATTTGCAAGCGCAGTGCTGACACTTAGCTGGAAGTGCAAGTGTAACATCGGAATTCACCTTAAATTGCAGGTGGACTGGGGAAGCACTTTGTTGTGCACATAACCACAACCTGATTGCGCAGGTGTGACACAGAGCCTCATATGGGAGTCCAGGTGGACCAAATAGTACACCTGAAAGTGCAGGTGAATCGGATTGATCACATGGAAAGTCAAGAGGGAGACTGTCATGGGAATGCAGTTGCAGAAGTATGTCTCATCAGAGTACAGGTGGAACAGAGTCTCACTATGGAGTAGTTTTTCACAAAGAAGTCTCACCTCAGAGTTTACTTGCTCAAGGAATTCCACCTGCAAAGAAAATTGCATTAGGGACTAATCTAGAAGCACACATGTAAAAGGAAGTCTCACCTGGAAGTTCAGGTGCAGGTTGATGGCCCTACCTCACAAGGTCAGTGCACCACAGAGTCTGACCTTGAAGTCTAGGGACAACAGGAACTCATCTGAAAAGGAAGGTGCATTGGGAAGACTTTACCTCAGATAGCAGGAGAGTGAGTTCTTCTCATGAGGGAATGTAGTTGCACCAAATACATTGCTTGAAATTTTGGTTGCACCAAGAAATGTGGGTGCTCCACGTCTCCCATGGAAGAACACATGGATGAGGGAAGGTCATCTGGAAGTGCAGCTGTATCAGAAACACTCACCTGGGGGCTGAAGTGTTATTAGGGAGAGTCACTTGGTACTTATGTGCACCATGAGACTCACCGAGGTATGAAATCTTATGAGATAGTTTTGATGGGGAGTTCAAGTACACAAGAGGGTCCCTCCGGGGAGCAGGGATGTGCCAGAGAGTCTCACTGGCTATGTAGTTACATAATTTCAAGGGATTCTAACCTATGAAATACAGCATCAGGCAAATAACATGACTGGAGATATACAAGGAAGACATACCTGGAAAATGTATCAGGGTCTTATATCAGGAAGTGCAGTTGTACAAGGTAGATTCCCCTGGTGGATGCAGGGGCAGCAGGGAGACTCAACTTGGAGCAGAGCTGCACCAGAAGGCCCACCCAGAGGTGCAGTCACAAACAGGATCAAGAATTTGAGGAACAGTTGCAGCAGAGCCTGACTCCATGGGAAGGTGCACAGTGGAGACTCATGTGGAAGGGCAGGTGCAGCAGAGTCTTGGCTGTGCATTCAAGTATACAGGATAGTCCCACATTCAAGGAAGGAGCAGAGGACCAGAGTCCTTTCTGCTAGTTTACAGATTCCAGGAAACCCACTCTTGGAGTTGAAATATACCCCTGGGACTGCTTTGACTGTTCAGATCTGCCAGGGTGACTCACCTGCAAGTGAACATGAACCCAGATGTCTCAGGAGGAAGCTCACCTGCACCACATACACTCACCTGGAAGACAAGGGGGTGGGGCACTTAGAAGGGTTGACCTGGAAGCACTGTTACAGCAGTGTCTATTCCACAAGTGTGGATGAACTTGACTAACACATATCTGAGAAAAGTTATACAAGTCTGTCATATCTGAAAATACAGGCATGCCAGGAAGTTCAAGTACATTAGAGAATCACACCTGGAATTGCAGGAGCAGCAGGTAGTCTCACCTGGAAGTTCAGCGTCACCAGAGGATCACACCGGGAGGAGCTACTGCGTTACTGAGAAGCATCTAGAAATGGCTCAATTCCTGTAAGAGCCTGTGTACCAGAGAAATTCAGTTGGGAGTGCAACTGTACCAGGGACTCACTTTGAAATAGGTTCACATTATGAAGTCTCACTTGGGAGTTAAAGGGCACCAGGTGTTCCAGCTGGGATTGAAAGAGCACCAGAGATTTTCACCTGGGAAGCAAGAGCATATGAGAGTCCCATAGGAGAGGTCAGATGCACCAAGGAGACTCACCTAGGTGGGCAGAGGTACACACCTGGAAGTGTACTTGCAACAGAAAGGCTCATCTCATTGTACAGGTGCAATAGTGAGTCTCATCCTGAAGTGTAGGTACTCTAGAAAGTTCCCTTAGGAGTTCAGGTAGACAGGTACTTAGGAGTGTAGGTGAACTAGACCTTCTCACCCATGCACTCAGGCAAATATTTCTTACCTGGAATTCAAGTGTGCCACGGACATCAAATCTGGGTTGCATGTGCACAGGGGAGTCTCACTGGGAGCTCAGGTGAACCATAGTACATTCCTTGGTAGTTCAGGTGCACCTAGATGTCTGTACCTGAACATTTCGTTCATTCCTGTTCTCTCTTTTGATTCTGCCACTCAAACGACCAGCATCTACCCACACGTCCATGTGGCTCTTACCTCTGAGCTCATTGCTCCTCACCCCCAAACTGGCATATACGTTTTTGTCACCTGAGCAGGGAAAAGACAAAATCCAGTGTTAATTTTAGAAATTATGCTCATGTGAGCCCTCCTTTCCTACTTTTCCAGAGAGGGCAGTAGGCAGCCACCCAGTGACACTCAATCCTGGTTTTTTTTTTTTTCCAGTGTGCCCTCCAGGGAAACTGGAACAGGTAACAAGCCTGGGTGCAGAATGCTGAGGCCTCAGAGCCTGCTTCCATCATGGTGCAAAGGAAAAGGAGCCTGGCATCCATTTAGAATGAGGGCTTCTGCTTTCTGGTAACTTCTTCAAGACTCAGGCCTTGGCATGCCTTGACACTGGCCCGCCTGGCAGTGCCCAGCACCACAGCAGCAAGGTATTGGCTGTCTCCGAAAACCAGCTTTTGCTTGCCAGCTGGAGTTGCCTTTCTCATTACCCGAAACCCACTGTGCTGCCCTAAACGTTCTGAGAATTGTCTGTCCCTTGTTTTCTTCCTGATATGTTTAGGAAGTTCCTTCAAGGCCTAGCATCTCAGGGAGGTAGCTCCATTTTCTACAAACTCCAAACATGAGATGGAGGCACAGGCAGGGGCAAAAGATGAAGAACTACAATACTGGTCCTACTCAGAAAAATCTAGATCCCTAGGGTATGAGCTGTCTTATTGGTGAGTAGCAGTGTGCATGTGTACAGTGGAATGCAGTCTTTTTTTCACATTCAGAACAGGCTTATGAATGACTCAACAGGCCAGGCCACTGGTGTAAAAACTCTGGTGCTCTCACTGTACTGTTTTGGAGATTGTAATTGACATATCAGAGACAGACTGAGCACAGAACTTGTGACCCAGATGTTCCTCTGACCCTGTAATGATGAGCCATGGTCCCACCTGCTTCCCATGCTCTGCAAAGGAGTCACTCCCCTTATCTCTTCCAGCCAATCGGTTGACCATAGCCGCTTTCCGGCTATGTGTATAAAAGCTAGGAAAACCATGAGGCCGACCTCTCACCATTTTGTGAGGCTGTCGGGAACCACAGGATTTATGTTTGGGTGTGGACTTTCAAACACAGCTCTGAATGGGGGTGGGGGGCGTACTCACTCTTCTGTAAGTAAACCCACACCCCAAGCTCAGCAAGTCCAACAAACTCATTAAGATTCTTCAAACCAGGGTTTGGAGAATTCTTTTCTCAGGTTGTCGTAAGGACCGTGGGAGGAGGGGATTGGATGCCACGTGTGCCTCCCAGCAGTGACTTTGACTCACAGAACTCCACAGTGAGATTTAGGGACTCCAGGTAGCAGTATCGTGAGGCTGCTCTGAGCAGAGGTCAACTATCCCACAGACCAGGGAACAGACCACTTTTACCATGCACCTTTCAGCTGCCTTCTAAACTGAGCCAGAATCTCCCATTTCTGGGCAGGCCCAAGTTTTTTTCATGTTGACACAAATAAAATGAAATAAAACAAATATACCTTGGATAAAATGGCAACAATGTAAGGTTTTTATAAGTTAGTAAAGATTTATACACATGGGCCAAAATAGAAGATGTGCAACAGGTGAACAGATCTTCAGCCTGTGCACTAGCTCCCTGGACTATCACTGAAGGGAAGAATAAGATGACCAAAGACAGGGACATGGGTATACCCAGCATTACAGGACAGGATCAGACAGAGAACCTTCCTGAGGCATGAAGATGGCACAAGGGTGGTCAGGAGAATGCACTTGCCTTTACTCACATTGAACACAGACAGCCTGAGAATCTAGTGGGACCCTGGTTATGTAGATCTGCAGCTCAGAAACAAGCTGGATCTGCAGAGAGCAATGCAGAACTTTCCATGTTCACAGAAATGAAAGAATCAAAGATGGAACAATGATGTAGTGTAGGTCCAGGAGTTAGGCACATGCACTCCAGAACTTTGTGGAAGAGGAGGTCTGACCCAGGTTCTGAGTGGGAGCTGGCCCAGGGTTGGGAGACTAAGACAACCAGGGGAAAGAGGGATGATAGGTCCATGGGGTAGCTAGGTGCTGTGTCTGCCATCCGGATTGTACCAGATAGACTAGCCATAGATAGTGACATTTGGAGCCCTTTCCCCGTCCCTGCTCAGAACCCAGGGAGGAGAGAGCAGATTGGAAACAGCTAGGTGATATTTTTAGCACCGAAGAGCTGAGGAACCTCACCGGGAAGCATAAGAGAAAAATCCAAACCAGACCACCAAGGAGGACCAGAAAAGCATTGGCCAGGGGCAGCTGAAACTTAGGAGGAGTTGAGGTGAAGTGTGGAGGAGGAGGCCTAGCCCCAAGTGTGGGGACCTAAAGGCTCCACTTTGCATAGGTCCGAAAGGAAGTTACTGGGGGCGCGGCCTGGCTTGCTTTGAAAGTCTGAAGAATACTTCCGCACTGCTGAGGTGTGCATGATCAGTGCGTGACCATCCTTAAGATACACCCTCAGCGGGGGAGGGAGGAGTTCCAGGTGCCTTTATAAGCTCTGTAATACCTGCAATAAATGAGCCCCTGCCTGACTAGACTCCCCGTTGTGTCTGATTGTCCCCAGGTATTGGGGGTGGCGTGGGCTGGCGAACGGCATGCTTACTCATCCCCAATCATCACCTCCCGGGGGTTGCTGGTTTGAACCCCTGGCACCCAAGACCCTAGTCACACCTCGTGTGCAGAAGCCTCAATTTAGCATATGGAGAAACTGAGACTGAAATGGTCAACTCACAGAAAAACTGCTCCCTACCCTTGCCCACCAGCAATGTTCCTGACCATCAGGATTTATCATAGGCTAGACAATAAGTGGATGATACCTGCAGAAAGCCCTTGGCCATTAATATGAGCACAGGCATTCCCAGACTTTTTGGACCATCATGTTGCTGTCCTCCCTTAGTGAGGCCTAGAAGCCCATAGAAGAGTCTAGTCAGTGTCCTAGAAAAATTCCAGTAACCTGATGTTCCTTAATGCAATGGAAAGAGATAGCAGGACCAACGAAAGGAGTGAAGAAGAGAAAGAGGCGTCTGTGCTGTGAGGAGCAATAACAATGAGACCTATATGTCACAGTCATCAAACAGAAGGGAGCACTGCCAAAATGTACTTTGTTTGAAACTGTCATTATGATAACTAATAGTTATCGTATCTAATTAAACTGAAAAGTGAAGGAGTCTTCGGAAAAGGGTTCATCAGGCAAGACCTTGGAAACAGCTGGGTTTACAGGTGGCTTCCAGACGCCTGACCGTCAACACTATACTCAGTACATTCATTTGTTGATGTCCAGGTTTTAAGATCTCATAAAAGAGAGGAATGGAATACCCAGGAGGTGTTCTAGGAAGTAGAGTTACACTGAGACATACATTGGGACATGGATTACACCTCTGATTACCAATTGTGAGGTCCGAGAGCCAACTACAAGATGCAAAATGTTCCAGAGAGTGAGGAAAAAAATAGTATGAAGAAGGCTTAAAAAGCGCTTTTCTCAAGTGTGGGCGAAGTTTCCATCAGAAAGACCCTGAGTTCCTTGCCCTCATCATGGAATGCAGTGAGGCCTCCATTGCACCACGTTCCCAACCCAGACAGAAAAACAATCACTATAGGAGATAGAACATTCAGGCACCAGTCAGAGGTAACAGTGCAAGTGCATACTATAGCAAGACCTTGACAATATCAGGGGAAATTAGTCACCACTTAGATTTCTAGGCAAATTCTACCCAGCATAAAACAAACTCATAGAATTGTCCATTAACCTCCTCCACTACCCATGTAGTTCTCAGTGGTGTTCTGCAGTGAAACCAAGGTCAGGAACTTGGAGTGGGTCCAGGACCTCAGTAGAGTCCTAGTGCTGGCCCAGCATATGATGGGTCCAGGACTAGCTCTCAACAGCAAGGAATGACACATACACGGGACTCCTCTAAAAAGATTGTTGTGTCAGTGTAGAGTTTTTGGATAAAACACTTGACAGGTGCTGTACTGAGTGGTGGTATGTATTACCCTGGTCACAGAAGTCCCCCTTCATCCAGTCCTTCATCCAGGTGAAGCTGTGGATATTTCTGTAGCTGTGGGTACATTACCATCAACTGACTTTTATTAAGGAGATACCCTGTATTATTTGGTAGGCCTTATCCAACCCTTTGAATGCCTCAAGGCAAAAATAGGTTTCCAGAGATGAAATAATACCTCAGGACTGTGAATCCTGCCTGAATTGACCTATATAAATATTTAAATAAAATAAATTATAAGAGGGCAATTGAATACAAGGAAAGCTGGAATCATGCAAGAAAGGAATGCAACGATTCTTTAACATTTGTAAAGTTCTTCTTTATACCAGGTGGTTCTATACACCTTTTTGTTCTAGCACACTTTATTCATCACAAAACTGGGCTCTAGTAAACACAATTATTATTTTACATTTGTTGCAGATGAAAACCAGAGACACAGCCTGGCTAATTCACTTGCCACACAACTGGCAGTGTCAGAAGGATTCAGATGCAGTCATGTGGCTAAAGACCACTAACCCTGTTTGGTTGTAAGGTCTGATAGAATGAAAAATCATGATTGAAAGGTCTCCAGGGTGGGTTCAAGAAGAGCACTGATACAGATTATTAGGGGCAAGGAGTTTATTAATATAATTAGTAGCAGACAGATAGATCATGGCATGGTGGGGACTTTGAGGAGAGTTCAGCCCCAGTAACAGAGATTCAGACAGAATGGTGAGGCATCTGTTCTAGTTTATTTCTCCATTGCTGTGACAAAATACTCTAATACCAACTTGAGGAGGAAAGGGTTTATTTTATCTTACATCTCCTGGGTCACAGTTCATCACTGAGGGAGCCCAAGGTAGGAACTCGAACTCAGGGCAGGAGCCTGGAGGCAGGAGCTGGAGCATAGGCCATGGAGGAACCCTGATTACTGACTTGTTCCCCTGGCCCCTGCTCAGCCTGCTTTTTTCTTTCTTTCTTCCTTCCTTCCTTCCTTCCTTCCTTCCTTCCTTCCTTCCTTCCTTCCTTCCTTCCTTCCTTCCTTCCTTCCTTCCTATTTAATAACCACACGATT